ACACCAGGCAATTCTTAACAACAAATCTTACGTGCAGAGGAAATTATACAGCATATATGTACATGTACCCAACTCAGGGACATGTGTCCTGCTGAGTACACATACATCCTGTGCGTCCTGTTTCTCTGGAGAATGTTGACTGGTACAGAGTCTCGCTCTCCATCCGCCATGCTGTCTTCTACTAGAGGAGAGAATATAGAAAGAGAACAATGCACGAAACACAGGGAGGATCATCTCTGTCCTGCTGTGTCCAGATGTCCCCCGCAAAGCCTCACGCAGTCACAGGGGAGGCTTTTCAGAGACGGCTGGATCTAGAATGTGTGAGGCTGGTACTGATTCATGGGGCAATGCTGGGCTCAAGGGCCCTAGGACTAAGGGTGTGGGTGCTACCTGCCCTAACGACCTGGACAAATACAAGGGATAAAGAGAACGGCAGTCATCTTACTTGCTTTGCTACCTTCTGCCTGCCATGAACTGTTTCTCCTCTGGAGGCCTGTCTGCCATACCACGGAACCAGCCGATGATGAACTGAAATCGCTACCAACTGTGCTGATGATGGACTGAAATCTACCAATCTCAACCCTTAACTCGTGAGTGCTGGGAATTTTGTCTCAGCAGTGAGGCAAAATAGAAAATCAAACAGAAATTATAGACTTTCTGAAGAATGACAATAATATATCACCAGGAGACCTCTTCAACCATAGAGAAAACTGCATAGCACTAACTACTGAATCAATTTAAAAGAATGAAATACCAAACCAAAGAATTAGAACAAAAAAGTACAGTGAAGTCCAAGGAAGAAAATAATAAAACAGAAGGATTTAGGAGGCAGAGACCAGAAAAGCAGAAAGTCAAATTAATGAGTAAAATCCTGGAAAACTCAAAACAAGGGACTTGCTGTTTGAGTAAAGAAAACAAGCACAAATACACAGAATAAGAAATAAAGGGGAACTACCAGTAACACTGGGGAAAAAATTTAGACATGCAATTACTTCTACGGAATTTTAAAATGGGAGTTTCTTTAAAACAAAACATGTAAGAAACTGAGCCATATATAATAAAGAGCTTTAAAAAAACAATTTTTATAGAAGAAATAGTTATCAAGAACTAAACAAAAAAATCATTAAGTCCAGATGGTTTCACAAGAGTTGATAAAAATAAGCATAGAAGAAAAATAGTCAAGGTCATACAGAGACCAAAACTGTTCTTTCAGGGCACATGTCTATAATCCCAGAATTAGGGGAAGCTGAAGCAAGTTTGCGAGTTCAAGGCTAGCCTGGGTAAACTGGCAACTCTGGGATACCGTCTCAAAAACTAAAAGGGTATTGGATATAGCTCAGTGCAAAGGCCTTCGTAGAGGCCTTTAATTCCTAGAGTAAAACAAAAACATACTAACTTGTAAATATTATCTTCACTTGTAATAAATCAAATGAGATTAGTTACCAAGAGATACCATTTCTCACCTATCGCACTGGGAAAGATTAAAATGCTTCGATACAGTCAGTGAACTGTAAGGAAGTGGCCTCGTACACTCGGTTGGAGGGGATGCCACAAGCTTCACGGAAAGAAACTGGCGATATCCAGCAAAGTTGTGTACGCTCATACCCTGTCTCAGGAATTCCACTTCTAGGAATCGATACACTAGCAAGTATGCGTGTGCCTGTGTGGCCATTCACTGTAGCATTATTTGTATGTTTGCAAGGTATTAAACACCACTAAATACTCATGTAGAGAGGAGGCATCAGATAAACCATATTACACCATGGAATAGTATTTAAAACGTGCACCGAGAACAATTCTATTAACTTAGACAGTGATTTCTGAAGATGTTAAGTGAAAAATGCATAAAAGCATATATATGAAGCAGCTAAGAAGCCTATGAAAAGACTTTTAAAATCACTGTTAACAGAAAATGAAAAGTGAAACCACTGACACTTAAGTCAGTAACAAGCCATGAGGGTGTGAGGACACGGAGAGCACTCACATTGCTGAGAAGGATGCAGTGGTGCAGCCTCTTCGAAGCCTGGCAGCTCCTTAAAAAGTTAAGAAGAAACTCACCACACAACCCTGCAGAACCACGTCCAGGTACGCACTCCATCTCCTGTCATGTGACGCTGGGACCATGGCAGCAAGCAGGCCCCGCCAAATGCAACTGCTCGACCTCAGACAGAAACCGTGACCTGAAGTCATTTCTTCTCATACATCACCCAATCTGCAGCATTGCGTTAAAAGCAGCAGAAAATGATGGTGACCAATTAATACAGTGACCCAGTACACCAGTTCCCGTTTCCCAGTTTTAGCTCTGAGGTTCTCTCAAGAGGTCTCCAGCCAGCCCTCTGTAAGGACAGAGATGCCCGGATGCTCCTGAGGAAACTGAGACAGCTGGTACACCACATACCTGCTAGGGAAGAAGCAACAGGCAAAACGGACCGTTTTCCTGCACAAAAGGGAAACACCCTAAGAACAGTGGAGACTGACATCTACAAGGGGTAGGGAATGGTGCAAAAGGGGCACAGAGTTCTGTTTTGGATACATTTCTGACTTCCACAAGCATGTAAGGTGCTATATATTTGAAATATACGAATGAGAGTGGTAAGGGGTTGAGGGGAGGACCTTCTACCTGGTAAGCACACTTTAAAAGTGAACCCGATTGTATTTCAACAACTATCATCACACTGAAGGAAAACAAAGAATCAAAATTATTTATGAAAACAACACCCTAAGTACCCTTACTCTGAGGTAGAATACAAGTAGGCAGGGAAACATACATAAATCTTGTTTTTTATAGTGATTGGGAAAAAGCAATTCTAAACCTGTTTTAGTTATTGAGTAATTAAATAAACTGACTGAAACCAGGTTTTTGAGGAAGAAACACTGAAACAGGAAGTGGAGATGGAAAGGAAAAAAAATCCTGTGAGGCTGATCCAGTTAGACTTGGTGGTTCTGGTGACTGAGAAATCACAGAAAGCATGTGCATGTCTGCACGCCCGTATTTGTGAATATATGTGCGTGCACTGTATTCCCCAGTTGTCTACTAAATGGCCCAGAAGCAGACAGTAGCGATAAAAACACCGAGGATCCAGATCTAGGGATCCAATACCCCGCAGCTGGATTCTGTGAAGAAAATGATTCCACACAGACTGAAGGAGTGTCTCCCTGCCAAACCCAAGACACAGTAATGGATGATAAAGCACAGAAAAGACAGCAACCCACGAGTGTCTAACAATACAGACACAAAGTCCAGGAGACACAGGTGGAGAGCGGGTGAGTGCAGGGACAGGGCGGGGCTTCTGCTTGCAGCGCGGAGCGACACCTGCGCCCGAGGAAGGCGTGAGCTGGGAAATCGCCTCAGCGACTGTCGGAGCAGACAAGGACACTCACAAGTGGACTTTATTTTTTTTAGTTTTTATTTTTATTTTTTTGTTACAAGTGGACTTTACTCCTGGAGGAAAAGATCTTATGGACTTACATCCCAGGGACAGCTTATTTTGGAAGGCAAAAGATAGTAACCATGTGTGAGAGGAATACAAGTCCATTAGCAGGTGACCGAAATGAAGATTATCCGTGAGGAAAGGGATGCTGTACCCTCTGGAAGTCACAGCCACCAGTGCAGCGTGTGAACCACGATGAGTAAGCTGAATCTGCTCATCAGGAAACCAAGCTGAGGGACACCATGTTAAAAAGAGGGAACGGAAAGACGGCTGTGCTCTTAACGCAGGTCACTGCTACGGACCACCAGAGGCCGCAGAAACGGTCCAGAGGTGAGATTTAAGGCAGGAAAAACAAGCAGATGATAAATGAAGATGGAAAAATCTTAGCAGGTCTTCTCTGCCCTACTTTCATTCCTGCAGGATTTCTGTAACCTTGAAATTATTTCTATATAAGCTGAAAAAGTGAAAAAGGACCAACTGGCTCACCATCCTCGTGTTTTGTCTAATAAGGGGATACAACTTTTTTAACCACACAACTATCCCTTAGTGCTTAAGGGTGGGGAGAGGGCATTTTAAACACTGAAAATAGTAATAATCTAAAAGCAGCAAGTTTGGGTTCATGTAAGAGTCCCATCTGTCTGAATTTTTCTGTCTGTGGACTGCGGCAGGGTGCAGTCATCAGCAACAGTATCCCACAGTGACGTGGCCGTGGAGAGCAAAGTGGAAGGGGACAGAGCCTGGAGGCATGGGAACTCCAACCCCGGCCCGGCAGACACCGCCGGGCACACTTCCCTTGGGTAGGCCGTTAGGTAACTCACGGAACTCTCGGGAAAATCAAATCAAGTAAGTGTGTCTACAAGAGCGTGTGCCACAGAAGTAGCCTGCAGACGGCCTCCTCTCTGCTCCACGCAAGGCCACGCAGCCTTTTCTGGAGACTCAACCGCTGTCACCCGGGTTCTTTTCGCACTGACCCACACTCAGCCTCGCTGGGATTACCGAAGTAAGCGCAAGAGCCCGAGAACACGCCTCTCTGCTGGGGCGGTATTTCTAACAGAAACGACTGCTAATAAATAGAATGAGAAGAGCAAGGCTTGTAACACAAGAGATCTCAGGCATACCCGTAACCGGCAAGTTCTGCTGAAGACACTGAACGGGAAGCGGGAGCGTGGGTTTAGTTCACGCGGGCAGAGCCTGCTCCTAGAACACCCTCTCCCTTCCTCACCCGCTCACGGCTCTTCTGATCATCCGCATCACCTCCCAAGGATGAAGGACAGCTTTTGTCAAAAATAAGTGGTGAAGATGACCAGCTCTAAATATTTTACTGCCTCTATGTCCTTGAAGGAAAAGTCAGTAAAATGTTCATAAACCACAAACCAATTTTCTATTGGATTTTTGTTTCTTTCCACATATTTCTTATCCACACTCAACAAGATGGTTTAGTTTTTATAGTAATTCTTTTAAAGTTCGTTTTTAAAAATGGAGAAAAAATAACTAAATTGCATTAGGGCAAATTATATTGTCAAGAGAAATTTAGTTTAATATTTAAAATCTTTATAAAAGATAAACAAATTCTGATTTTTCCTTTATTTTATAATTGAAAAATGAAATCACTTCACATGAATACTCGATACACAATTTCCTTAAAACTCCTCTATCGTGAAACAAAATTATACACATTGAAAGTGTATATAATATTAACACTCAAGACAATTTCAAACCAACTATCAGTATAGCTTTAAATTACTATTAATTGCAATTATTTTGGGGGAAAATATGCAAAGCGTATTAGGGCCCAGTAATCCAGAATACCTTCTTAAGAGTAAAATCTACATTGTCACACAGCCCCAAAACGGCATCTTAGCGGGAGACACTATGAATGGCCGTCGCTCTCTCAGAAGTCTTTCAAAACAGACTCGAGTAATGGAAAAATATGCAGTACCTTGTATGTAATAACTAACAAAAATATTCTCATGGACTACTTTTTCTCCAAAGTGATTAAGGACAAAAAATAGAAATTCTTGTTGCTTTATTATTTGATAAATTGCTAATAAGCTCCCATTAGAAGTTCTTTAGACATTATACCAAGTTGTCTTGGTCTTCTGATCATATATATACACACACATATATATATGCATCTTTTTTCAAGTAAAGAAATGTTTAACAGATGTAAACTATTTATTGAATATTTGCCACCAAATATTGTTAAATACATTATCTTGCAGCATATCGCTTTCAAGTTAAAATGTCAGAAACAAACACCAATATTTACAATTCTTTTAAGGAATGTTATATAATGACACATTAAGGCGTAAATTCTTTTGGCTTATAATTCTTAAAAGAATGATAATAGCAAAAGTGATGCAAAATCTTCAGTGTGAGATTATGATTAAGCTACATTTTACAAAAATATGGTGTAAGATGGCAATAATCCCATTCAACATCCTGGATTAGATCCCTTCAGGAGGGACTGATAATTTATACAGTCAAACTTTAAAATTTACAGATAAAGGCAGTTTAATACTGCCACTGAGAAGTACATCTCTTAACATATACAACTTTCAGGCCACAGTCTTGAAGGTCTGAAGTATCAAGTTGGTTTGATGAATTAGTCGGTTGGCACTTATGAACACATTTATTGCCCTGTTTAAAAAGAAAAAAAAAATAAGTTAATTTCATTCCAAAAGTTCACTCTTGAAATGTTACATACTCCGTTTAAACTATGAATCATAGCAACGAAGTCAATTTAAGAAAACAAGTATGTATTGAGGGGTATTACAATGTTCATTCCAGCTAGAGGTTTAATCCTTTTGCAGCTTTTCCAACTGCCGTCTAGGAATTACTGCCCCCTGGTGGTTCTGACAACAACGAGTTGGAGGCTGCTGATGACAAGTTGGACCTCAAACAACCAGAGTTCATTCACAGGTCAAACAAGTAACTGGCTAAAGAGGATTCGGATGTGGTCTCTAGCTGCGGTTTCACAAAGCTAACAAAACCTAACTAGGTGTTAAATAACCTCAAGATCTATGTATCACTGAGCATGATGAACACTTTACCTTTAATCTGACTCGGCCGATCTCTTACCTTCTTTCAAAAACAGGTGACAACTCTAAATTACTTTTACAATTAATGTAGTTTTGAAATAAAAGTTCCATATATTGTGGTTTCAATAGATGGAATCTGACAATATACAAAATGTTTTTAAAAACTACTTTATGCTCCCCCAAGTCTCCTAGTGGCCGCTGTCACGTGACTAAGCAGACACTCCCACCGCGTGGCCCCGTTAGTGTTTTAGTGTCACAGCTGCCGCTTACACTCTCACCCTGGACACAGGAAGAGGAGCAGGGACAGATCAAACGGGCGGTGTGAATTCATCCATCTAGTGAAGGACAGCTTAAAGATTAGGCTCATAATTTCTCATTTTAGGAAACGTATAAAACTTGTAGCATGCTCTTTAAACATAAAAAACTGGAATTTAAGAGGCTGGTAAATGGAAGAAAAGGACTAAGTGTGAGCAATCCTGACGCACAGTAAACAATTTTAGATTAAAAAGTAGGCTCAAAATTAACTTTTACCTCTCAATGCTTAGCCACAATGGTTTCTAATTAAACAGAATCCGAAGTACTGATGCCATCACGTAAACTATCTTGTCAGTGTATTCTTTGCTATCTGGGCTCAGCGTAGATGCTCACTTACTAAACTAAGTCATCAAGGCGCGTAGTAATACACAATGCAGTGTAGCTCCATCATCTTTAATCCGTAATATAAATACTTCAACTTGCTCGAATTGTTACTGCTAAAACTGACTCTGAAACTGGAATTCTAACTTATTAGTATTTGGAAATACCATGGTAACACTGCAATGCTGTATGCATACGAGGATCTTAAAACCCCAACTAACACTCTGACGTCTGCTCAGAGGCAGAGACTCAGAGGACCACTCACGTCCCATCTGGTGTGGTGAAAAGCCGCCACAGACAGCATGGGGCTCGTGCATGTAGCTGTGTTCTAATAAAAGTTGACAGATAACGAAACTGAATTTTAGAACAAATGGTCTTGTCCACAAAATTCCTGAACTTCCTACTTTAACTACAAAGAACTGTGTATATGGAGTTCAGCAGAAGTCATGGCCTCCACATCAGTTTACTGCTTCTGCGAGTGTGTATGAAATTGCTGTTGAGTGTGTACGAAATTACATACAATTTACAGTTGTATGTAAACCTAAAGATACTGTCCGCTTTACATCTTTAGTGTAACTCTCATTTAAATAGAATGCCTCCCGTGGATCACAGTCCTTGCAGCCCTGTAACATCACCTGGAGCGTTTATAACCCTTTAGATCCTGGTCTCATTCCAGGTCAAATGAATCATCACCTCTGGAAGCAGACCCTCTACGAGTTTTAAAACACTGACCACAAGTGACTCTAACATGTAGACGGATTGAGAAGTACGGTTTCGCTTCTAGTGCACTAGTTCTCAACAGGCTTGCAGCTTCCATACTGCCAGAAAACTTTTTTAGAGATGCAAATTCCTAGGCCCCACCCTGGGTAAGGCTGAATCAGATGCTACTCAAGTTTGAGAAGCACTGCTCCATGGACCGGTAAAGTAGGTTAGGAAGTAAAGAATGCTTTTACATTTGTGCGCTTTTTCTAAATAGACAGGGTACGTGATAGGTGTAAATGATGAAATTTAGTTTTAGTGCCTCTAGAAACTTCCACTGGAACAGAGCTGTACCCACGGTACCCACACTGTCTGGGGCTGCCTTTGCACTACCCCAGATGGAAGATGGGCAGCCGCCACAGCAGCTGCCTCTAAATCAGAAATACTCACTACCTGGCCCTTTTCAGAAAGTCTGACGGCAGCTGCTCTGGGCTCGGCTTATGGCTGGACTGGTCACCACTCATTTTCTCACAGTGTACATTTGTTAACAGTTGCTTTGAGTGTTAGCAATATAGTAGGAGGGCTTAATTTAAATGCCTTTAATATTATATAAAGCCACAGAATATACTGAATTTTAAAAGAAAATACAGTACTTACTTGCCATCTTTAAAATATGTTTTCAGAGTATCACTGAAACTTTTGGAGTACTTTACAAATTCTTTCTTTTGGTGTTCAAGTGCCTACAGTTATGAAAAGAAAAAATACTAAATATGAGAAGTAACAGTTAAAACAGAAAGACCAGAGGGCAGACTTTGTATTATAAATAAGCAGTGTAAGAGATTCTACTTAAACACGTGTAACAGCATTTTAGAATTCAAGGACAAACTCAGTGACTGATGACACAATTTCCAATAGTCACACTTTCTTAGTGTGTAATTCAATACAACAACTAGATGAAAACCAGTATTTAGGGTAGCAACTAGCAAAGTTTCTACAAAACTTACCCTGCGGTTCTGGTATTGGTATTTCTTGAAGACATTATTCACCGTATCAAGAAGTTCTTTTATTGCACTAGCTATATCCCTATGAAGAAAGGAGAAAAAGAACCTTTAAAATCAGCTACATTTAAAAGAAGTGTGCATGCATGCGTATAATTACTAAGCACACTACGCCCCTGATCACCACATGCACACTCCGGCAAGGGCCAAGCTTTAGCTGGTGGGAGAGGGAGTTGTAGTGTGTACAATTCTGTGATCTGATTACTACTGACCACACATTCCCAACTAACACTAACTTTCCTAAATAAACAGCACTTCATTCAGCATTACTTAATGAATTCAAGCTACCATATTTTCCGCTTGTTATTTCATGTAAAATTCTATGAAATTTTATATCACATGTAACTCACTTCTGCATTAACTAACATTTTACACTATATATCTATCAATTTTGAAGCTTAAAATACTTCCTCCTGAGCAGTGAGGAAGTAGTCTTCCCCTTTTCTCTTCAGACACATCATTACCTTCATCTACCTCCTTCAGACCTTTGCTATTTCCATTGCAAAATATATTTGAAGTGTCAGGAGAGACGCTATCTGAATGTTCGTCTACCTTAACCTTTCCAGCAATCATTCTTTGACTATATATGCATCAACACCTTCTTCTCCTTTCTAAAAAGACAAAGAGAATAGATCAGTAATTCTCGTTTGAATTATCTTTCCTATCCATACACCCATTTCTAACTACTCTTGTCTTTCTTATCAATACCCTTCTCAAATTCCATTCGAACTTCATAGCCATTTTTTTCTGTCAAACTGAACCTCATGAAATTTTCATGCTGGAACAGTCTACCATTCTCTAAAGATCTTTTGTAATTCTTCTTTTAGCTGTTAGTCATTATAAAAACTTCTGCTGTTCAAGTACAACACAAAAGTGAAGACATACATGAACAAGACTTAAATCTAGAACATCTGAAACATAACCTTTTTTTGCTGATTTTTTAATGACAAATGCCAGGCTTAAATTATTGCCTACCTAAATATGTCGGTTTTAGTCTCTGGAAAAAAAGAAAAATAAATGCAAAACAGTAACAAAAAGCTCAGTGTCCAGGTTTCTGTGCTTCCCAACATATTTTTCAGTAAATAAGCATGTGGAAACTGAAAGAATTACGGGCCTTTTTGAATTACTGTAAACAAAAGCATTTTAGCCTATTCTAAAGTAGAAATAACATTTGATCAATACTTACTTATTCACCTCCTGTTTGACAAACATTGGTATTAGGCTGAAATATTAAAACAGTAAGTATTCACGTAGGATGACGGATTTTACATGGAAATGCCATCTGTTCATTTATTTTTTGCTTCCAGTTCAGCAATAGCAGTATTAAGTTATGTAACTGATCCTTTCATTTTCAAGCAATTCTCATGTACTGCTGTAATGAACATAAATCCATCCCTATTTAATAAAATGGTGTATTTTTCTGACAAAAACTACAATTAAAAATTTATGTTAAATCTGTGCATATGAGAGGTTCACCGAATCCCCAATCAAGTTATCTAAAATGGAATATAATGAAGCACATTACACAGTGGTCACACAGCTATTCACATACAACATCACTTAGTAGTTTAACGTTCTGCAAAAAAGGGGGATTATAAAAATGTGCTTTCAGGAGTAATCAACAAGTTGATGTTATCTACCTATCTACCTGGAATAAAAAAAGCTGGACTCTACAGATGAAAACGCAGTTCTGAAACAGGCTGCTTAACTCATCTAGGGAGGAAAACAAAGGGAGAGGAGGAAAGGACTCGCTAGATCCTACTCTAGATTTGCTCTTAAAAATTGGGAATCTGTAATTTTTAGGAAGGGACGAAAGAAACCAAAAAAATAAAGAAATCTTCCCAAGTAACTGTACTGCCACATGTGAAAACCACCACCACCGTTTGAAGACCAGGAGCTTAGATCTGACGCCTTGTAAGTACAGAGATTTTACAAAGAACTCTACTGACCAAGCCTATCTCTAATCCTGGTCTTCTGTTTGGACTTTCGGCAAGGATTACCGAGCAAACTGTTGAAAAATGTGCTCTAAGAACAATCTGAAATATTTATGCAACTACTGATATCCACTTGTACACAGAAAAGTATTTTCATTTATGGCACCAAGGCTTACACTAGGGAAGCTAATTAGTAGTTACCTGAGAGTCTGTTTCCTTTAAGAGAAAATACAGAAAAACAGAAACAAAATACAGCAAAAACAGAAACAAAAAATGAATGAAGACTTGAAACAACCAAACAAAGGGGGTAAAATAAGCATCTTGTCATTCTGTTCACACTGGAGTTGATGATTCTGTGACAGGGACAGGTAATGTGAGTGGAATAAGGAATTTAGTAATCTGCAGTTAATTTAGCAGGGGAACTTTTGGAAAACATACACTAAAAGGTAACAGGCATCAGACTAAACTAAACATCAAAAAACTGCATGGAAAATTAAAGTGTCTAATCATGCCAACCACTTCTATATGATCCACGTTTATATCAACACTCAAAAGGAGTGCTGTGTATTTAGTCTGGGTAAATTCTTGTATAGTTTGGTCGAAAGTGGCCAACACTGGTAAAGCCATTCTTAAAACCATCACGAAAACTACTGGCCTTAAATAAATTCCAGCGAATGTGACCTTAACAATACAATCTACAGCATCACCTGTAACGCTTGGTGTAGTAGGTTTCTGACACGTGACACTCCATTTTATTATTGGAGGATAATTCAAATATGAAGAAGTAGGATATTTTAAAGGAAAATAGTATTTGCACAACATGTCACACCTGAAGGATGAGGCATTTTCTATTTTGGTACAATTTTACCTACTCATTTATGAAACAGTTAACAGTAATAACATTTATCAAAATGTACCCAGTGCTTATCACAGTGATACGAATAATTAATTATCCCTTAGGCATCTACGCTATTCATACATGGCTGAGTGTTAAGTCTCAAAAGTAACATACACTAAGGGTTAGGACATAAATTTCCGCTGCAACAAATTTCCCTTGCCACTACTCTTCACTCATTTGTGCTAAGTACACCACAGAAAACGATGCCGGTGTTACTATTCTCCTCAGAGGAGGAAGAAAAGCCCTAACACAGCCTCTACTGATGACTATGGACAAGACTTGTAAGATGTAAACCTCAGCTTCCTTATGACTGAATGTGGTGTTATTCCTACATTCAAGGCGTTTATTCCTTATTCCACTCATAATGTGGTTTCCAATGGATCTCTCTAGAGCAACAGAGCACTTGGCAGAGATGTCTCAAGGACTCCATGGGGAAAAAGGTGTCAAAGCAACAGGATGAAGGCTCTGGGCCTGCACACTGTTCTACCTCTCACATACTGGCATGCTACATACGATGTCCTACACAACATGCTTCTCTCAAATAGTGCAAACTCTCCCATCACGAGCTTAGATAAACATTAAGGATCTACAGAAAGCAGCGGAGAAGCCCGTTCAGAGTGCTGGGTTCCAATTTCTCTGTGACCTTAGCACTGGGATGACAGGCGCCTCAATTTCTCCATTTGATTGAGTTGCTGCAGTAAGTTAACACAGGTAAAATGCTTAATGCAGTGCTTAGAATTTAACAGGTTCTGTGATTGCAATTACTGACATGACACCTATTCTGTAAACCTGTATTTCAATGATAGGAAACAAAATCTGAAAATATTGAAGCTCAAGTTTCCACAGAAATGTAGCATGGCATACGCAATTAACAAGGCAAATAAAAAAATAAAATATTAAATTACTGTAAAAGTAGAAATAAACAACTTTGAGAATGCTGACACTGTAACCTTTTATGGGTAAAAAAAAATTTAGTTTAACATATTAAAAATAAAATGCCACACAGTTGGCCGTCTTTTTTCTTAACATATTAAAAATAGTTCAAGGAAGTCAGTACTTTCTTATGAAGTTAAAAATATAAAATTCTTAAGGCTTGTCCTTTGATTTTGGCTATTAAAAGCCTCTGTTGTACTCTTGAGCCTGAATTATTATCGAAGAGAAGAGTCATTTCTTGACATCTGGTTAGATAACTAACATGAATCATCATTTTCTACGTTGGGCCACTCTTTACCATTCAAAATGGGTGCCCATGCTCGCTAAAACAGGGTTTTGCGGCATGAATCTCAAAGAATACTGTTCTTGATAGATGTAAATTAATTATTTATTCCTAGCATACCTTCTATTCTTCCATGTCAGCATCTTGCAGAATACGGCCTGTGCTAAATTTCTAGGTATGGCTTCACCAAAACACTGCATTAGTAGGGCCATTCGAATTATTCTGTCTGTTTTATTTTCTATCAATTGAGGCTAAAAACATCCACCAGACTCTCACATTGGGAAACCAAGTGTGAGTCTCCCCCACGTGTCTCCACTCCCGTACACACTCCCGACCACCACGGTGCCCAGCCCCTCACACGCTCCAAATCCTACATTCTTGCATCTCAAAAGCAAGGATCTGGAGGTGTTTGTTCAATATTAGAAAATGCTGTTCATGTGTATGAGTGCATTACTTTTTCTAATGCCTTATGCGATAGAACAATAAAACTAGTAAAAATTTTGTTAGCTCTTGTTACCATTCTCTATGACTGATCTAATTTCTCCATTCAGCTGAGCTGACACTTCTCCATTCTTCATATAGCTCGCATACATTCTTTATACACATTCCACTGTTATTTTTAAACACTTGAAACACTATTATATTGTAAAGACATAGCTTAAAAATTAATAAAAATGTAGCATTTTAAAGATGTCAAGTTTTATTTCAGTCTAATATTGCTATCATACCAAAATAAAAACCTCTACAACAAATGGGTTTTCCTGAAGTACATTTCAGAAATGAACTGAAACTAAAAATCACTTACTTGATCGTCTGCAGAAACCTCACTCTGTCATTGATCTCATCTGGGATCTTACTGAGAATCTGTTTAAGTGCTCGTGCCTTTTCATTGAGGTCCTGGAATTCTGGCTCTGGTCGTTCAATCATATACTCTGATAAAACACACACATAAAACACATCATGCGATTCCCTGACAAATTTAAGTCTAAGAATAAAAATCCAGTCAGTGATGGTCAAAGGAGGTATGGGAGGAAAAGGGGTACATAATTAGGAAACACAAGGTGGCAAAAAAGAATTATCTACAGTTCAGTTTAATCCTGTAGTCATATTAGTGTTCCCTCCAAGAAAAATAGTACACAAGTCAATATGGAAATGGAAATACTATAAAATCTTATGCATTTAATGATTTAAAGCCCCTACAATGAATATATAGTCTATTATATCAAAAACTCACAACAACCTACTAAAACTTTCAGTGTGTTTCTGAAATTTCACTTAAAGATGCGAACACCACCACAAATCTAACGCAAGGGCTGAGATCACAGAACAGCAGAATCTCTTTTCCTTTGGAAAGGAGGTTCAATCAGACTTGGCAGAAGGAGAATAAGCTTACACCAGGTTAATGTAGATTCGGAAGGACTACAACTCTACCAGTTCAATAGAGTACAGTCTAACAGGCCGAAAGTGCTGAAGTCTAAACCAATGAAGAGGGCTTTCTTCTCAAATGTAGATATCAGGTATAATATCTACATTTTTCTCCACTAATAAATATGAGAAATTTAGGGGAAAATGGCTATTTGTGGTTTTGAATGAATACCATTTATAATTTTAAAAAAAACTGAGAAAAGTAAAGAATGGCTGTTACATTACTCTTCAAATCTGTGCTAGAAAAGAAAAATGCTGTATTAACATTAAAAAACCAAAATGCTGGGCTGGGGATTTAGCTCAGCGGCACAGCACCTGCCTGGCAAGGTCGTGAGTTTGGTTCTCAGAACTGGAAAACAAAAACAAAAACAAAAACAAACAAACAAAAAAACCCCAAAATGCTCACCACTTTCAAACATGCCACAAAACAGACATTCCACAGAGCTTATCTTTCAGTGAAACTAGAACTTTCCAAATACTGTGTTCACGGATAACTCAAGGCATGCAGCATCAGCAAGTATTCCACATAACTAAACCTAACAAAGCTATAAAAAATAGGATCAAGAACCGCCTTTCTTTGGACTGCTCCCACTATCCTCACAAAAAGAATGAAAAAGAAGGGAGAGAAGAAAGACCCTTTTGCCAAATTACGGTTTGAAAGGAGTGCTTCCCAGCAATTCGCAAACTAAGCAAGGGTCTTTTTCTGACAATACCTTCTACATCATCAGCTGCCATACGAAGAAGGGACTCTGTGAAGTTAACTTCTACACTTTTTTTCTCTAAAATTTTCATAATGATGTCTTGTGTGAGACCTGGATTTTCTTTCTCGGCCTGTAAAAAAAAGAATGGCAGTTTTGAAATACAGAAACAGAATCAGTATTTTAAAGCCAAAACTGATTTGTCAAGAACGCCTGAGGAAGGCCTTAGACAGATCGATGATACGGGCAGCTATCTTTGTTAAAGCAAAGGCATGATGGCATTTCCTTCTGTTTTCTTAGAGCTTGTGTATCAGTAACTTCGCTACACCCATGGTCTGATTTTCCACTTGAACAACGACTATTTCACACTTCTTACTTACCCATTATATTCTCCGGGAATCAAACTAACAACCAAGAAATAAAGATTACATATATTTTGGTAATCAATCAGTTATTCTTTTCATGGTTTAAATACACTGAGAATTTTTAGCTTATCTAACATTTCAACTTGGGGATAAAGCAGTAACTTCTCTCACCAGTATCTGTGGGTTCTTTGTATTTAAATTAACAAAATGCCAAGACAATCAACAATAGTTTGAGACCAACCTGGGTAACTTGGCAACTTGTGAGACCTTGCCTCAAAATAAAATGTAAAAAAATTTTTTAAAGTGCTAGAGCTAGAGCTCAGTCACAGTGCAAAGACTATGGCCCAATCCCTAGTATCACCCACATGCACAAAAACATAACACACTCAAGATTTGTTTTCTTTTGGACACCTGCCAATTTAAATCTGTATGCCGACAATTTCCTTTATTTTTTTGCCCTAATATTAAATAGCAGGTAGAAATACAATTTATGATCCTACTCAGACAGTAATCATTTTGTTTCTATGTCAAGCACATGCAGCTTCCAACTCGTCAATCCTGCTCCGTATCGCTGCTGTTACAGCTTTCTTCTGCTCCATACAGCTTAAGATGTGCTGTTACAGTATTAATTTGGTAAACTGTCAAAAAAATTACACTTACTGCAACTTGGTAACAGCGGTTTATCTTCTCTCAGCATTAAATCTACCTACACAATGAATTACACTGGGTTGGGCACGGAAGCATTCTCTATATGCTTGCAGGAAATGTCAACAGAAAAGCATCTTATTAAGATGTTAAAATAGTTAAATGCTGTAAGTTTGAACACAAAGGTTGCAACATCAACTTGGTCTGGGACCCTAAAATACCAACACTGGAGGATTATAAAAGCCTCACAATACCCTCACATGCCAAAATAAACACCTAATAGTGCTACTGAACAGATCCAAAAAAATTCCCCAGTAGCATGCCCCTAACAACTCAGTAGCCTTAAAAAAGACACACATACAAATCAAAGAAAAATGTTTTACTTCGTTCTGAACTACGGCTACCTAGTAATCAGACGTACTTTGTACCTACTGGGCAATGCACAATTTCTCAACAGTGGCCTCAGACTCTTAGATCGGACCTGCCGGCCTCACGGCCTCCTGCGCTCGTTTTCCCGTAGTACTTGCTCTCTACCACAGTGGGCTCCTAAAGTCTGGTTTCACACAGGTCAGACGTCCCTGAGAGAAATGCACACAAATCTAGTACGCTGAAATTGCACACTACTTTCACACACGAGTTAATGCAGTCTCAAAAGGATTTTGAACATCACCGTTACCCCTCAAAACTTTAAAACTGTTTCATCGAATCCATCTGACTTAACCGTTCAGACCTAGGGTACACTGTTTGGGGATATAATAGTCCCAGTGTCTTCTAGCTAAAGTCCTATTGAAGCTACCTGCTTCTAATTTTAAAAACTTAAAATTTACTCAATGGTCCTGACAAACAGAACTGTTCTTAAATCAAAGACTCTACATTTTCAGATTTTCCAATCGTGAACTCTGGGTATCCAATCTTTGTTTAAAAAACAAAATACAGAAAACTATCCCAAAGGGTAAATACACACTCTAGTGGGTCAGTGACCTTCACCTGGCAGACTGCACAGCACAGCAGAAGCTTCAAAGGGGACAAGGGTTAACAGGCAATCAGGAGGAGCATCGTCCTTACAGGTAACACTGAATGGGATCTTTTTATTTTGGGAAAAAGTTTTAATTCTCTTTAGTTCCAAATAAAAGTAGATAGTAAAGACTGATAAAAAAAAAAAAAAATCATTGCTGTGAACCAAGAACTGGAAATATGGACCTAAAAGACTTTCAGAAAAGGTTTTCATCTTTTTCAAACAGTTTAAAACACAAAAAAGCTTCATCTTTTTCACACGTCCTATAGATCACCTGAAATTTAATAAATGTGATAGTTAAAACTAATGCAAAATTGGCTAATTTATGTTTCTCCAAAATAATTTCCACCCATCTCAATTAAGCATCAGTGCTGCGACTCACACCCCGTGGCAGGCGCCCACAGTGCCAGCTCCTTGGGGGCTGCGGCACAAGCGCTGCTTGAGACCCTGAATTCAGATCAGCCAGCACAGCACAGCAGGAGCGGTCTCAAAAACAGAAAAAAATAAAAACCCAGTACCTAGATAACAAAATTCATCCATAGGTCAAACAGATTAATCACAGTCCTATAAACGTGCTTCAGGGTGAAGTCATCAGTTTGTATGTTACGAGCTTCAGGACGAACCCTGAGGAAACAGCATTTGTTGCAGTTTTACACCTCACAGAGTATACTGAAACAGGCATAAGATGTCTCAAAGTTTACCATTCAGAGAAAATAAACTGGCAACGGTCACAGGGTATTTAGGTTTATAGAGGACATACGCATTAATCAGCATCATTTGTACCTCACCTTAATGAAAGCGGCTCTCAGTGTCTGAGCTGCAGACAGATTTACTCGTTCTAACTGCAATAAAAATTTAAAATTATTAGTATCAGTTATCTTGGGAAAAAAACATCTGCAATATTCCACTGTGTGGTAATCATAACTCCATCACTTAACAAAAACACTTGTTAATGATCGTAAATAATCATTATTCAAATAGGTTTTCTAGAGTTTTCAATGCAAACTGAAAATTGTATCTTCAGTTCTTCATTCATTCCTATTTTAAAAAATAAGACGCATTCTACCTTAAAACCAGATATAAGTACAGAATGCAAAATAACAACTTTGAGTTCATATAGAAAAACATAAACACATTTGCATGAACTACTGAATATAGGGAGCCTTACGGTTAACTTAAGGTTAAACTCTCAATGTTGTTTCCACAGCTATAGTTCTGCTGGGAAAACTTGTGTGAAATGTGGGTAGGTATATGACAAATTACAGTCTGTTTACCACCTTGCTCCCCTTTAATTGTTTTTCAAAGCCCCTTTCAAGGATTACATTGAGATTAGTCTATTTTATCAATTAGCAAATGGAATGCTAAAAGGTTTACCATTCTAACTGAATCCTGGATCATCTGGAATTCAGAGAAGCTTATAACTGTCCTCTTACTTCACCTCTATTAACAAATGATTACTTAAAATAGTAAGTCAAGTTATAGCTAAATGCTTTTATTTTTCTAATATATAAGATTTATAATTTCAAAAAATAAATGTCCTTTTATATATATATACTTCATATAATTCATTTTTCAGCCAATCAAAAAAGGCAAACGATTTTATAAAAATAATTTCATTTGTGGAAGAGTTAACAGCCAAACTTAAAATACCCAGGGGGCCGGCGATTTAGCTCAACGGCACAAGCGCCTGCCTAGCAAGCACAAGGTCCTGAGTTCGATTCCCGGTACCAAACTTAAAACACCCCTTCAGTAAAGTTCAGATGTCACCATTCCCTAAGAACAAGGGTGCTTACTTTACTAAAAACTGAGTATATACTGTACTTGGGACAACATTAAATGCTGTGGAACAGTATATGTAAGCATGAATGTCTACAAAAGCTTTAGGAATATATGTCACATTATTAAAGTCCTTTCAATCACTTGAGGCAATGAAAGTATAAAATTTGCTTTATAAATGACGTATGCGTATGTACACAACAGTCTAATACTTTACTTTAAATCAATCTAATTTCTAAACAAGATAGCGAGAAATGCCAAGAACTCTATCTTCCTATAGATTCTGTGCTTTAAGCCCAAAGCCGAAATCAGTTAAAATAAGTAATTTGGCTACTAAAAACCACAACCATTTCTAATAGTGCTTCAGCAGGTAGGAAAAACCAGAAGAGGCCCAGCAGCAGATGTGGGCAAGAATGAACCAGAAGAAGTTTATGAGTTTAACACAGGTGTGTTTCCAGAAATGAAGGTTTTCCGCTTGCACACGGGTCATGCACTTGTAACACCACTAGACCACAGTGAACGGCGCAGCTCTGCAGACCTGAGGCCGCTGCACAAGCACATGGGCGGCAGGACAGGAAGCACGCTTCCATCCTGCTAGGGAGCTGCTCCCTCATTTGGGTTCACAGCCACAGCGAGCTCTGTCAGCAAGTCCAAGGTCTGACTCCGATGTGTGCTTTAACGTATCAGCACTACTAACCCATTCTCCACTGCCCTGACCGGCTCGCAAAGGACCAAGACAAGTACAACAGGCCAGAACGCTAGGAAAGGTCTAATACAGTTATCTACAACAGGTAAAAACATCTTCGGATTTCTAGGTTAAGTTTATATGTATCTCTTACAAGAAAGAGGTAGTCACAGGATAGTCAGATGTATTTCACTAAATAAAAAATCTGGGCTGAAAGCACATGAACTCTGTTCAGAGTCATTCTGGGGTACACCGTATACCGTATGCCACATCCTACAGTAAGCTCAACTGGCTTCTTTCACTCATGCATACACACTGCCTAGAGCAGTACTAGGACGCAGGTACGCAGCTATTCCTGAAATGAAGTCAATCTCGCCTCTATACATCTATCTAAGCTAGCCTTACATCTACAATTAAAGCCTGTATTACTCAGACAGTGATATATGCTATCACATTAAAAAGTGTTATCTCTTTCAGGCCTGTTATTTGTGCTGCATTATTCATCTTACCAGTGCTTCTTTTGACAGTAGCAGGTTCTGGAAATATTCTAACAGATTATCATTTATTAAGCATGTATTCCAGACTTCTATAGAGTATCTTTACATAGACTACCTCAAATTCTCACAATAAATCTCAGTTACCATATTCACTTTGCACAGGAAGAAATTCAATTCATATAAATTTATCCAATGTTAAACAATTACTAAATTCAGAAGAAGAATTCATACCAGATCTGTCCAGCTACAAATCCCACACAAAAACCACTAATGCTACCTTGATGTCCTGTGTTCACTTTCTCCGACTAGAGTTTACCCTCACTGAATCTGTTTAATGACTAGCTCTATAAAAACCATCACACTCTTCAGTTTCTGCCATGTGCAAGAAGTCAGTGTGAAGAGATATTAAGAAACAGACTACAGTCCTTTACCTCTGAACGATCAATTTAAGTAAGTAGCTTCATGAAAAGTGGTGGGATCATTGTCAACTGAAGTTGAAAGGAAAATCATTACAAAGATGATATTTGAACTGATTTTTAAAGTGGCTTAGCCTTTTAAAATCATTTTCTTTAGAAGTTCTCTTTATGGGTTTCTTCAGAGCTTGTAACACATAAAGATATGATTTCATATAAGTTTAAAAAGAAAAAATTCAATTCTGTTTTCAGTACTTTCAGTGAATCCAGCACTCCTTGAGGGGCTGGGTTAACAATCTGGCTAGAGAACCCTGAAAGAACCTTGGCCTGTTTGAAGCATACAGCACTACCCGGTTAGTACACAGCACATACACTGAAGCTGGGGTCCAGTGGAAGAGGAACATCACAACTGGATCTTGCAATAATGGACACCAGGAAAGGGAAAGGTACTACCTGGGCCTCCGCCATGCAGGACTTCACATCAGCAGTAACAGAATACGGGAAAACAAGAAAATCAGAACGAGACACAAAAGTGCAGAGACAGGTACAAAACACCCCCCGGGAGAAGACTGCTGACGCACACTCAGCTCTGACGGACAGCAACACGGACGTTCGCGCTCACCTGAGCCTCACGTTCTGCCTCCTCTCCACTTCAGGAGCTCCTTCTGCAACTCACCCTTCCTAACTTCTCACAACACTTAACACCACCTCAAGGCTGTCAAAGTTACACTGTTGTTCATTTTTTTAAAAAATCCTTTAAAAGCTTACACATAATTTCAATTCCATGGAGAGCGCATTCATTACACTGCTCCCTCTAGAATTATCTATCAATTCACTCCCACATTTTTCTGACATCAAACTAGCTTCCTAAACCCATAATTAAAAAACCCAATTAGCCCTATGGTTGCTCAAGTTTAAGGAGTCTTACATAAAATCTCAAGAAAGCTATTTTTTAAAGGCCAAAATAATTAGGTTAATTGGTTCCATATTGCCTACAAATCTACTTGCTTCCTCAAAATCAGGCAAGATTTGATATTCTTACACTGCCATTCCTCACCCTAAACCCTCCCCTCGATTTACTGGCCCACCTTTTAAAAGAAAGACAATGAAAAGTAAAGGCTCCAGGTATATTTCTCCTGATTCAAATGAGAATGAGGTGAGTCAGGTGGAAAAATAAGCATGCCAGAAAAACAAAAGTAGATGGAACCAACCAGTCACCCGTCAGCTTTCAAGCTGCCACAAAGCAAGCAAATGTAACCAGCTTTGTTTTGTACACAGTAAGTTCTCTAGATGCTTCGAAAAGAATCAGTTCCTGAGGCTGTCAGACTGTCTGCCACAAAAGCTATGTGAAGCCACCAAACTAGTTTAAAAATACAACGCAAAAACATTACTAGCAAGTATACAAAACTCAACAGTACGACCACAATTCTGTCAGAAAATGTACTGTATGTTGAAAGGCTCCTTAATAAGAAACACTACATGTCTGTTACAATTCTAAACACTTTGCAATACAACAAATTTTTTATTTCATAGGGCTGCTACAGAAATTAGGCATATTTTATCTATGCTGATTTTACAGATAAGAACACCGAGTTCAGATTATTTAGCTGGCATGTGGTAGAGCAGTAATTCAAGCCCAAATGTTAACTATGATCATCTCTGGGTGGTAGATTAAGGGTAAAATGCAACAGCTTCATTGTGTAAAAGTTATTTACATGCTGAAAGTGTGAAGTATGATTTTTTTTTTCCAAAGGAGGGGAGATAAGGCAGGTAGGTAAATCTGAAGCAGTATTCCCAGGTTTCATTTGCTTACTAGGAAAAAATTAAAGAGTTTTATACATATGCCAAGAATTGGCAGAAATAGCTGACTCAGCCTCTGAATGGAATGGTATTATTTATTCAGGAATATGCTTTTGTGTGATTTGCTAATAAACAAAATGTATCAGCCCTTGGTGACCTAAAAGTCAGTTTTAGTTGTAAAGCTGTTTGTTTCTTAAAATATGACACAAACTGTTTCAGAAATTATACTTCATCTTAACACAAACCCTCTAAAGCATCGCAGGAAGAGGAGACACAGGCGATTTTATCCTAGAATAAAGAGGTGTACTGGCTCTCTCTCCTCCTTCACAAACGAAGAATAATACGGAATAATCCCGACATGAGAACCTGGTCTGAGACTTGGCATGAGGTTTCTAGAAATCAACTGCTCCATTCTGCAACAAGGGACCTATTCCCCAGTACACTGACAGCACCACCGATACATCTGGACTCTGAACTCCCAGCAGCAGATTAAACAAGAAACGCATTCCTTCTCAGCTGTCTTAGAGCAGCTTTTTCAAGTCTTACAAGCATCAAGCTCCCAGAATGCAATAAATAACTTTGCCCTGTAAACTGAAGTAATAGTACTAAAATTTCCCTGGGCATAAGGGCGTTCCACTAGACAAACGTCTGTGCTAAGAGGATTTTCTAGACTACCACTGTAGTGCTTACAGATCAAACGTTAAGGTGAGAATGAGTAAGCTCTTTCTAAGACAGTGCAGATAAAAGTTAGTGAACGATTTAGATTTAGAGTAAAACATTCATTGCTGCTGTGCTATTATTTTCTGTTAGCTTAATGTGAACCACTTTTGCATTTAAATCAACAAAATCAAGAAAAGCAGTCATCCTAAACTACAAATTCCTGTTTAGTAGACTTATAGAGAAATTTGAGGTTGAACTACAAGCTAATATTAATGTTTAATTCATTAAGTATCTTATTTAGATGTTAGTTAACAGATTGGACTTCAGGTGAATAATGCTACTACTAAACCAAATACTTTTTAATCAACACTTCACATCTGAAGGCACAATAATGTTTTCATTCCATTCCTAAATCAAGGCCTAAATTTTATCTCTGTCCGGGGAGATCTACTCACTGTCATCACTATTTCTAAAACTCTGTGGAGCGGTGAACATGCATTTGAATACACGACAGAAATAAGTTTTTAAGGGCTTCGTATTATGATGTGAGCTCAGCAAGTCCAATTTAAGAATGAAACCAGGGAAACGTCCTGTGGTATCTCTCAGGTCTGCTGCACTCAGTCACTTCATTTTCAAACTCTACTTCTAATAATTAGCTCTCAGACCAACCAGGTCATTGGCAATGGGTTCTAATTTCGGTCCCGTTAAGCCACAGGTGTTTTCAGATCACTACCTTCATGTACAGAAGAGATTTACTAGTTCATTTCTAGTCATCTTTTTCTTTCAACTTCTTAACATGAATAAAATGAAAACAATTTGTATCAGTATGAACCCCCAATAGTTCACTTTAACAGAAACCCACATTCTACATAAATCTTTTGCAAAGTCGAGATTCAAACAGCTATTTTCTATATGTAGGAAAAAAGACCATTCAAAATCTTAGAACAGAGGTTTCCTCATTTTTGTTCATTACCTAGTGGATCCAATTGAACCTCTGTAATATAAGTTTTCCTCCTCTCAAGTAAAAATTCGAATTACCAGATAAAGACAGAAAATTCTCCCCAACAGCTCTGCCCAACCGCTTTTCAAGTCAGGGATCCAGGCAGGGAAAGATGGAACAACTCTGGGTGGAGCATTAAGAGACTATTTCCTTGCCTCATTCCAAGTACAAGGGTAATTAATGTATTTGCTTAAATATCTGTGTTTCCTAATAGATTCATTAGAATGGTACATTACCTTTTTTACTTCACATCTACACAACCTAACAGAGTACTTAGCAAACATATGACTAACATTCAGTATTTACTAAACAGAAATGATGCCCTTGTTTCTAATAATAGCTACCTGCAATAACTAAGTAAAACATCGTAAGAACAACAACAAAAAAATAGTGGAATTAATTACTAGCTGACAGCTCCAAAAGATGAAATAACTAACCCTAAGAGTACCTCTAGCACTACCAAGGTAGTACTGCAATAGAAGCATGTTTTTCAAAAGATGTTTTCTGCTTAGTAATAAAACTAAATTTCCCAACCCCTTTTGCAGTAAAGTTTGGTCACGAGACTAAGTTCTTGAAAATGAGATGTTAGTGAAGTCTTCTGTAGGTCTTTCAAAAGGGGTACTTTAAGGAAGTGGACTCTGCTGGAAACAAGACTTCACACAGGACATAAGGATGGACTGTCAGCAGCTGCACTGCAGTGCGATTTTGATAGTGGATGGCTGAGCACACGGTGAGAGCCTGAGTTTCTGAGGGTACTATCCTTGGGCCCACAGAACCTTTTATGTAACGAACGACAAAAAGCCACCGTTTTGGATTTTCCTCTATGGTTGTTGAATCTGAGACTACTTTAGATAACAGTATTTGACGGTATCTGAAATTCGAAAACCTATGTCTTATCTGACGAATCTGTAGTTTCCTTGTTGAAAGGGATAAATGTATCACTACCAGGACTGCTCAGAAAGATGTACATGTGATTGGACAAGCGTGTCTGGAGTATGGAGAGAGTTTTACAGGGGTTAATGTGTCTTTTAAAAAAATTTAGGGGGCTGGGGATTTAGCTCAACGGCACAGCGCCTGCCTGGCAAGCGCAAGGCCGTAAGTCTGATTCCCGGCACCGGAAAAAAAACAGAAAGAAAAAAAAAAAAAGAAAAAAATTTAAACACTACCCATATTTTTTAATCATACCTCACAGATTGCACTTTCCTTAAACCCTTAACTTTCACTTATTTCCTTCAGATTCTAGCTTATCTGTATTCTTTGTTAATGCATTTCTCTTACTTCATAGCAGGTATCCTAATTTTTATTTATATGATTATTCTGTAACTTTTACACAATTCTTTACCATTGTTTTATGCAGTATCTCTTTCACTACAGGGAGCAGCACATCTAATTGGTTCTGTCTTCCCTATTTCATGTGCTGACACAACGCCTAACACATAAATGGAGTTCACTTGTACAAGTATTTTTATATGAAATACACAAATGTAGCACACGTTAAGGGGCTGGCACAGACCGTAAGATATTTGCCCATTTACCTCATTAAACACAGGATACATGACTGCATAGAGGGGCATAGAAACCATGGAAGTGGTCTCAGCTTCATTCTTCATCTCTTCCATTGTCATCCTCATTCAAAAGCCAACTACAGTAGAAAAAGCAGTGCTGAAAGGCAGAGGAATCTTCATTCACTGCAGTACTTCTTCTTTTTTGTGTGTGACGGAAGAATGGGCACAAAACACGCACTGACCTAGTAAAAGGGAAAGAGTTTTACACACTGGGAAGTGACAAACACAAACAATTCTGCATTTTCTAGAGGGCAGAGTTCCTATTTTATGAGAAGCTAATTTATTAAAGTATTTTGCTTGTGAACGTACCCCTGGTTAAAGAAACATCTCTTTTCATTTGCAGATCCAAAAATTACATTTTTCTATGGCTAATCTCCCTAGTTAAGTACTCGTTCACAAAGCAGCAATTCAAGAACGCAATTCACTTGAATACAGCAAACTCTGGAATAGAAAAATGATGCCTCTACTAATATAACACACAATCTGGGCAAAAAAAGTATCAGTAAGATGCATTATTATGTAATAATATTACATTACATTATATATATTTTATTATTTTTATGCAATATAAAATTACAATAATGAAATATACA